GAATAAATGTAGTTGGCAATACTAGCAACGTATAGTGCTCGATACACGTGATAATGCAGAGCGTAAATATTGAAAGTATTGAAAATGTAGAACTTGTAGAACTGGGTATTATTATCACTCTACAGACTGTTTCATGCTAATGCAATCTTCAGGAGTGAGAGAATACAAGGGTTGTGTGAGTATATGAATGCTAAGACAGGTGAAAATGCAAATGAGTTAATTGTTTTTAAGTAGGTATTTGTTGTTCCACCAGGCCGCCCCTGACTACGAACAAGCTCTACAAACTGTCTCTTATACACATCTAGATGTGTATAAGAGACAGGTTATGCATAGGTTGCAGCGTTTTGTTTTTGGGGAGTAAGCCGTTGCTCTGTCGATGATAGACCATTTAATGTTGTAGGGTGTGTTGCTATCTTTTAATTTCCATACGTATTTGGAGAGTACGGTGCTGTTTCTGTGTTTGAGGGTATTAAAAGTGTATTTGTGGTTTGTGTATCGGGTTTTGAACGGTGTGTCAGTGAGCCCGATGTAGCATTTTTTGTCATCATCTGAGTAGACAGTGGCTTTGTAGATGGATGAGGTGAGGCAATTTCCAGAGAGTGGACATTCATCTTTTTTCCTGCAATTGCAGAGAGTTTTTGGCTGTTGTTGCTTAGCAACCAGAAGCTGTTTGTTGTGGGCTTTGATTATACTGCCCATGTTTCTTGAGCAGCTATAGCTGACTTTGACATTGTTCTTGTTAAAGAGCTTATGTAAAATGTTGCCACTCGGGAAATGCATTTTGACCAGGTTAAGGAATGATTTTCCGATGTTGGTTTTCACTCCTTTGCTGAATGGTGGGTTGTACCCAAACCAAACTCATTTGCATTTTCACCTGTCTTAGCATTCATATACTCGCACAACCCTTGTATTCTCTCACTCCTGAAGATTGCATTAGCATGAAACAGTCTGTAGAGTGATAATACCCAGTTCTACAAGTTCTACATTTTCAATATTTTCAATATTTACGCTCTGCATTATCACGTGTATCGAGCACTATAC